AGGCTCTTTCTCCAAATAAAGTCACATTCACAGGTCCTGCGAATTAGGACTTCTCACACAATGTCCTTTTAGTTCAGCAGGTGATCACTGAGGGTCTCCATGTGTGAGGGGTCCTAAGGCCTGAGGGCGAACCTTAAGGATTATCGAGGAACTGAGCAGAAGTCCCACAGAATGGAAAATTCAGGATGTGCCATGATGGGAATGGGGGAATGGATGTGCTGGAGTATCCCATGTAGAGAGTGAATGATTCAGGTTCAGGAAAAGAGAGGCCTGGATCATGGAGGTGGCTGGGTAGGTGGGCAGGATAGAAGGGCCTCTGAGGTGGGTGGGCAGTGTGGGCTGTGGCCTCTGGCTCTTGACCTGGCTACACCTGAGGACCCACTGTGAACTGTGTGGAGAGGTTCTGACTTGGTCAGGCTGAGGTGGGGACCTAAGCATGGCTATGTTTTAAAAGGTCCCCAGCTCCATATAGCACTATTCACAATAGCCCAAATGTGGAAGCAACCCAAGTGTCCATCAGAGATGGACAAAATGGAAAAACAAAATGTGGTGTATATGAGCAATGGGATGTTATTCAGCCTTAGAAAGGAACGAAGTTATGATTCATGCTGCAATGTGGATGAGTCTCGAAAATATGCTAAGTGTAACAAAGCAGCCACAAAAGAACAGATGATCTACAGTCCCACCCACATGAAGTCACTAGAATAGCAAATTCACAGAGAAATGGTGTGGGGGGGGTCCCAGGAGCTGGGGAAGGAAGTGGGGAGTTACTGTTTTGTGGGCTCAGAGTTTCCTTTGGGATAATGAACACATTCTGGAAATGCACAGTGAGGTAGTTCCAAGGCCAGTGACTTGTGCAGTGGCTTGGGCACGGGGGACCCACATTGACCCAGCTCACCTGTGACTCCATCTGAGTCTTTAGAAAAGCCTGTGAGAGTCCCATCTTCTCATGTGCCAAATGTCAGATTTTAGAGTTGTGTGACAGCCTATTTCTTCTTGGGATGGATATGAAAATCGCATGAGTGTCCAGTCTGGCAATAAAGAGGACGGGGATGGAAGCCCTACTGCCCCGGTACCTACCTCAGTGGTGTTGGCCTCAGTGAGACAGAACCACTCCCACTTCTTACACTCTTGACCTGCAAGTCACCTGGGAGGGGTGCTTGGAGTTTGCAAATAACAAGGCAATTTGGGAACATTTTTTCTGGAATGACCATCAGAGCTGTCATCGTATGAGGTCTGACATATGACTTGAACTTGTCCTAGAAACAGTGCTACATACCTTGTTGCTGAACATCACTATAGTTACCAGGTGGCCAAGGGGAGGACTTCTGAATTGAATGTAGTGATATTCAGCAATGAGGTATGAAGCACTTTGTCTACGATGAGTTCTCCTACTTAATCTCAGACTGTGTATACATCTGTTTATTTCTGCCTTTCTCCAAATGCTATGACAAGAAGTTAGATTATACCTAATGAGACAGGCTTGGCACCTGGAGTTCAGTGGTTAGGGCGCCAGCCACATGCACTGGAGCTGGCGGGTTGGAACCTGGCCTGGGCCTGCTAAACAACAATGACAACAACAACAACAAAAATAGCCAGACATTGTGGCAGGCACCTGTAGTCCCAAAAAACAATAAAAACCCTAATGAGACAGTCAAAGTGCAAGATATCAGCAAAAGAGAGGGTTTAGATTTTGGAAAAGAAAGTTATTATATTAAGCCAGTGGAATTTCAACTTTTTGCTGTTGATGAGAGCAGTGTCAGGAGAGAAGGAATCCGGGGGAGGCATTTGTTTGGACACTCACAGCTCCTCCCGATCCCCAGGCTGGTACAACCGTCTGTACATCAACTTCACGCTGCGGCGACACATCTTCTTCTTCTTGCTCCAGACCTACTTCCCGGCCACCCTGATGGTCATGCTGTCCTGGGTGTCCTTCTGGATTGACTGCAGAGCTGTGCCCGCCAGAGTTTCACTGGGTAAAAGCATTCCATGAGATATGGCAGGGTGGCTGTTCTGTTAAATTCATCACTGTGTAAAGAAAAGCCCTCCGTCTGATCCTTCCTTGGAGGGACGTCTTCCCCCAGTCTCGCCTTCCCTGTTCAGGTGCCGGCCTTCTTCCTCTCCCTCAGTCTGAAAGCCACGGGGAGCTAAAGCCCCATCACCTTTGATTGCATCACTGAAGAGAGCCTATGTGGGGTGTCAGCATCCACAACTGGCAGTATGGGAGCTCAGTACTCAGAGAAATAAGACAGTTCTGCAAATGCCAATGATTTGTTCTATAAATACAAAAACATCATTTGCTGACCTTATTTGGCCAGACTGAGGCTTGGAGGCAGGGCCCACAGTAGTGATTTCTGGGAAGGTGATGGCTACATTCCCCAGCACTGTGGTTTAGCCCTTCATAGACCCTGCATTCCAGAGTGAAAGCTTGCCACTCATCACGGTAAACTGGACAAGATTAGGTTGAGGTCTGAGAAATGTGAGCGATTAACCAGCAAGGCCCCGTGGCAAAGATGGGCTTCTGAGAGTTTCCAATCTCCAATGACCAATAAATGTGGCTTAGATGAGTGAGAATGTGTCCATTTCTTGAGGTTTGGGAAAGTTGCTTTAATTCTACATCAGAGCAGGTCTTTTCTAAAGCTCGCTTGACCTTGTCAGCCATGTCCTAGAAATCCTGTCTTCAAGGGGCTTGAAGTGAAGGGTGGTGAGCAGTGAGCTGGCTGGCAGGGATCAGGTCCACTGGGCAGCAGATCCCAGTAGCATGGCCAGGGAATCGCTCACTTGGGTTATCAGGCAGAGAATGTGGAATTGCAACCTAGAGAGCTGCAGGGGCGTTTTCTACACCACTGTCAGCAGCTGAGCTGAGACTGGGTGTTGCAGGGATCATGACTGTGCTGACCATGTCGACCATCATCACCGGCGTGAACGCCTCCATGCCCCGTGTCTCCTACATCAAGGCCGTGGACATCTACCTCTGGGTCAGCTTCGTGTTCGTGTTCCTCTCAGTGCTGGAGTACGCGGCTGTCAACTACCTGACCACAGTGCAGGAGTGGAAGGAACGGAAGCTGCGTGAGAAGGTGAGAGCTGCTCCCTTGTCTGAGCTGTGCTACTGATTGGAGGCAGATGGAGGTTGGCTGGGCAGATGGCTCCTGGGGTTTGCGTGTAGAAAAAGGAGGTGTTGATGTAGAAGGAGAAGGGCCTGTTTTAGAGAAGCTCCAACTTCCTCCATAAACAATCTCAGAAAACAGAAAGTATTTGGGCAGAGACTGAGAATGGAAAGTTTGACCTCTTAGACCAGCTCTGCTATCTGTGCTGGGCCTCCATTTCCTCATCTGTAAAAGGGGATAACAGAACCCTCCCCTCCTGGGGTTACTGTAAGACTCACATGAGGGGACGTATGTGACTGTGTTTTGAGACTGTGAGGTTCTAGACACACAGAAACTATCACTGTTATTATTAAACATGTGTAGAGAAAATGAGAAGGGGAGAGTTCTAGAACAAAAAGATCCGTTATTTATCACTGCTCTGGGACAGTAAAAATTCAGCCACTTTAAAAACGAAAAATATATATTTTATATTTATTGACTGGGAATGCTATACTATCTATATTATCCGGCACTATGCTTCATGACAGTTGGCCCATTGAACAATGTGGGGGTTGGGGTGCCGACTCATACACATTGAAAATCCAAGTACAACTTTTGACTTCCACAAAACTTAACTACTTATAGCTGACTGTTGGCTGGCAGCCTCACTAATGATATAAACAGTCCACTGATGCATTTTACCTGGTGGCAGTGGATCATAATAAAAGTCCTTGTCCCTGTCATCTTCATTTAGGGTAGGCTGACGGGCAAGAGCAGGTGTTGATCTTGCTGTCTCAAGGTGACAGAGGCAGAAGGAAATCAGTGTAGAAGTGAACCCGAGCATTTTAAACCTGTATTGCTCACTAGGAGATAGAATGAAAATGGGAAATTTTATAAAGCAATCTTCCTGGACCTTTGACACAGGGAAGGAAACTTTATTTTCATTCATTTTCAGACTTTTATTAATCATAGTAAGAAATAAATCAAGGGCTTGGCGTCTGTAGCTCAAGTGGCTAAGGCGCCAGCCACATACACCTAAGGTGGCAGGTTCGAATCCAGTCTGGGCCCGCCAAACAATAATGATGGCTGCAACCAAAAAATAGCCGGGCGTTGTGATGGGCACCTGTAGTCACAGCTACCTGGGAGGCAGAGGCAGGAGAATCACTTGAGCCCAGGAGTTGGAGGTTGCTGTGAGCTGTGATGCCACAGTACTCTACCAGGGTGACATCTTGAGGCTCTCTCAAAAAAAAAAAAAAAAAAAAAGGAGGAAAGAAAGAAAGAAAGAAATCAAGGGCTGTTTAACCAGCCTAATCAAATCAAGATCCTGTCTCTCCTAAAAATAGGAAAACTAGCCCAGAATTGTGGTATATGCCTATAGTCCCAGCTACTTGGGAAGATGAGGCAGGAGGATCCCTTGAATCCAGGAGTTTGAAGTTGCTATGAGCTAGGCTGAGAGCATGGAAAACTAGCCTGGGCAACAGCGTGAGACTCTGTCCAACACACCCCTCCAAAAAAGAAATAAAGAATCTTGACTTGTTATCGAGTCTTTGCTAATCATTGTGCTAATCAAAGTGAGTGTTTACCTAAAAGGTTTAGAGATTGAGGGACACAAAAATCCCAGATTTATGCATGTCTGGATGGCTGTTAGACTCTAGCATAAGAGAGCTTTAAATTTTAGGAAAAGAGGATATGTTGCCTTTTCAAAAGTAGTTTTTAATAACTGCAATTACACTTGTTGAGTATTTCCATATAATTTGCAAATAAACTAGAGTGTTTAAGAATTTATTCTTAAAACCATTCAAACCTTTTTTACATCAGTTCAGTAATTTGTTTGTTGATCATTATCAAAGACCTTTGGATTCATTTAAACACTTGATTTACAGCCCATCAGACTTCCCTATATAGAGCTGTGCAAAAAATAGCAGAGCTTTCATTGGACAAATAGGGGCTCATGAACCGTATTTGTGTTCAGGCAGGTCCTTAACCTGCTACCATGTGATGGGTCCAGGTCTTTGCCAGTGATTATATGACACTATTTAGAGAGTAATAGGGAAGCCATACTAAAAAGGTCTTTGGGCCCCCAAGTCTGTCTCTCTGTGTGAGAACAGACACCTGGGAGGTGACAGTGGCTCCTTCACGTGGTCAGACCTGTGACTTAAAGTTGCTGGAGGGCAGACAGTGGTAGGTTGACACAAAATCTCTCTCCTGCTGCCCCACAGAGAAACCAATACATGTGGTCATTAAGATGGCCTTCAATAGAACTGAGGTCCCTAAGTGGGAGTCCAGGAAAACTGCCCTGGAGTCCTCTCCCAGGCCATACCCCAGACCTGCTGATTACATGTCTGAAGATGGCACCCTGGAATTCCAACACAGTCTGAGATGATTCTGACGCTTTCTGAGGTCTGACTTCTACTCCATACAGCGCTAAACTGCTGGGTACCTGCCAGGCCCACCCCCAGTTCTTTCTTAGAAATAAGCAGATGTGGAAAATAGGGATTCATCAGAATTTTTGGCATTTCATGATTCTAATTCAAAATCTTAGGAGAAAAGCCTGTTAGCAGATAGCATTACAGTTTAAAGCAAGGAAAAGAAGAAAAGACCTGTGCCTTAAATAATCCAGTGACACTGTCTCACAATTTTATCAAAGTTTGGGTGTGAGTTTACCTAAGCACAGAGTTGAACAGATGACCTCTTTCTAATATTTATGGGTGGTGTCAATTATTCAAAAATTAATGTGTTATTTAAATACTGTTACTGGTATGTTAAGACATAGAAACAATAACGAAAACAATCATGCCTACTTAAAAAAATAGCCCCCAAATTAGGGATGATTTCTTCAAGTGTAAGAATATTTCAAGTAATTCTAGTTTCACATTAGAATTCGTTTACCTGTTTTTGCATTCTAAAGCTTTCTGATATTCACCTGAGTATTTTAGGATCCATAATTATAAGAGGCAGGTTGTGAAATGTCATTATTTCATTTTCTCTGATGGAAAAAAATCAAAGGCATTGAAGAGCTGGGAGCCAGGTGAGAAAGATGTAAAGTCAGCAGGTTGAGAATAATAAACCAGGGTGGTGCCTGTGGCTCAAAGGAGTAGGTGTTAGCTCCATATGCTGGAGGTGGTGGGTTCAAACCCAGCCCCAGCCAAAAACTGCAAACAACAACAACAACAAAAAGCAGCAAGAGAATAATAAACTCAGGAACGGTCAGCTATGTCAAGGGCCTCACGCCTCCGGCCAACACTGCCAAGTCCAGGCACCAATGGCAGCCCACTCTCTGCTGACCCAGATTTGGGGGAGATGTAGAGCAAAATGGTTTCATTCCCTCTAACTTAGAGTTTCTTATAGACATTTTCATACTTACAGAAACAATCAAAAGAAAAGGGAAATATGTGTATACCCCACACTTTGGTCCAACATTGCTGTCATTTTGCCATTTTTATGTGAGTGATTTCTCTGTATAAATATATTTTTGTCGGTATAGTCGAACCATTTAGAAATACACTGCAGGCACTGTGACACTTGATTCTTAAATGTAACTGTTCAGCATAGGACACTCTTTGACCTAATTGTCTTTTGATTAATGCACAGAGAGGTGAGATCTTGCTGCTGAAATCAATATATGTGGGTCTAAAGGCCTGGCTCTGACGTGTGCTGTGTGGCCTCAGGAGAACTGTACAGCTCTCTTGGCCTTAGTTTTGTCTCTGAAATTGAGGGAATTTGGACAGATCAGGGTTCTCAGGAGAATCATCTGGTAGGCTTAAGCAGCCTAGGCTCAAGTATAGCCTGGCCATGGCCAGTTTATAGGGCTGTGCAGGTGATTCTTTTTTTTTTTTTTTTTTTAGGACATAAAAGTATAAGTTTATTTTATCTTAGAAAGAGAGGGAGTAAGAAAGGAAATGTGAGAGAGAAAGAAAGTAAGGGAAGAGAGAGAGAAAAAGAATGAGAAACAGCATGGCATCCCAAAGAAAGCAGGGCAGAATGCCCACGCCAGTGGCTCTGACATGCAGCCCTTGTCTCTGCAGTTCCCGTGCGTGTGCGGTGTGCTTCACTCCAGAACCATGATGCTGGACGGGAGCTACAGTGAGTCTGAGGCCAACAGCCTGGCTGGGTACCCTAGAAGACATATTCTAACAGAAGAAGAAAGGCAGGACAGGATAGTGGTCCACCTGGCCCTGAGCAATGAGTCCAGCTCCTCCAGGAAGAAGGGGCTTCTGAAGGGCCAGATGGGTCTTCGCATCTTCCAGAACACCCATGCCATCGACAAATACTCCAGGTTGATATTCCCTGCCTCCTACATATTTTTCAACTTAATTTATTGGTCAGTGTTTTCCTAGGTGCTACCAGGCTGTGCCTAGGAAAGGGCATAGGAACCTGCCAGGCTGGGCAGTTGTGGACAGGTGCGCCTGTGGCCACACCCCTCTCAGAGGAACCCGGGGGCTCCCCTCCCCCAGACCTCATGGGTCTGCTCTATGTTCATGCCATGTCCTATGTCGCACTTCACGTCTCTCTGGGACCGCTGTCTCCTGCTCTTGCATGTGAACTAGTTCACAAGAACTCCTCTGCTGTCTCCCCTAGACATTCTGAATCCCTCAGGAAGCCTGGGATGCAATTGTGGAAGGAAGAAGAAGGAAGGGCCAGCAGAAGGCTTTTGGGTTGGAGACAGGAAAGGGGGGATGGGAAGTCTGTGAGCCCCTCCACGGATAAAGTGCCTACCCAGGAAGGAGGAAAGCTCAGGGCCCAGGTGGAAATGGTCCCGCCTGTGTGAGCACACAGCCTACAGCCTACATGATTGTGCAATCGTGAGGGAGGTTATGCATGCATCCATCCATTTGGCCATCCATCCAATGCTGGAGCCCCGTCCTGGGCCAGGTACTGTGGAAATGAACACTCTTTCCTCTGAGGACATCTCAGCTGTGCTCACTCTGCACCCTCCCCTCCTTCACCCCACAGACTCCTCCTGTTTGCTGGTGCTTTGACTCCTAGGTCTTTGTGGAACGCATTTGAAGTCTCCTAAGGGCCCTACTGAAGCAGCTGAATGCTTCTCTTCTGGAATCTCCAGGCAGGGCAAGCCCGGGGCTGGGGACAAGGTCGTTGTGAGAATCAATGTGGGCAGAGCTCGGCCTGGGGAGGGGTCTCCTCTGCTGCTTCTGGGCTCCCTCCGTCCTGCCCCAGGACAGCATCCTCAAAAATCCCTGCACCCAAGCCTCAGGATCCCCAGGACCTCTGTTGCTCTAACCAGAGGGGCCTGCACTCCAGAACAATCTCCCCTTCCCCCTCAGGTTAGCTCCTTTCACAGCTAGGCTCAGAGCCAGGAAAGCAATCTGGTTTACTCAACCTGCACTAAGTTGTAAACAGCCATTTCTCTTGACCCGGTTTTAGTGATGGGTAGTGAATGTAGTGACTCTAATTTCAGGTGGCATAAAGGACATGATTTTGATAAGGGCCTTTCTTTAAGCCACAACATTTGGAATCAGAAGGCAGTTCTTGAGCCAGAAGGAGTGTCCACTTCACATTTTTTGCTTCCTGAAGGGTTGCTCTGCTCTTCTCCTCTGCCTTACTAACTTTCTGCCAGGACCTGCTCTAAAGTTGGTTAAGAGTAGAAAAATGGTACAGCAAAGGAGAGAGCGTAACCTGCCTTAAACCACAGAAATTAAGGTATCTTGCAGAAGACTTGCAGAATTCAGAAAAGCCATTATGCCCAGGGTTAGTTTATTACAGCAAAAGGTTACAAACTCAAGTCAGTGAAGGAGAGAGATGCATAAGGCAGGGCCTAGGATGAGTGGGTGCAGACTCTCAACTCCTCCCCCAGCAGAATCAAGTGGACAGTGATTATTTTCCCTGGCAATGATGTGCGACCATGTGCACAGAGTATTGCCATCCACGGAGACTCATCCAAACTCACCAAGTTGTGTAGAGTTTTATTGGACATGTGTCATACAGACACAGCTGATTACCTCCATGGCTGGCCTTAGTCTATCTCCATCAGAGACTGAGCAGATTCCTTGTGGCCCAAGACCCCATCAGAAATCACAGAACATATATTGTCAGGTATGGCTCAAGGCCCCCAAATGAATAAAGCCCCTTTTATCAGGCAGGACATTCTAAAGGTATAGTGGTCACCTCCAAAGAGCCACATGGGAGAGAAGGAAAGGGGAGGCCCCAGGATCAAGTTTTTTGGGGCAAGGTTAGTTCCTCCCTCCCTGGCAACTGTTAATGGTAATTGCTGTGTGGCTATTACACATTCAGACCACAGACATTTTAAAGCAGCCCTGCAGTGGGGGGGTGGGGGGGATGCAGGGTCCAGATTAAGAATAAGAGAAGCCACAGCTTACAGAGTGGGGACGAGTAGAGGACATGATACACAGACATCTGTGAGTTTAAAAGTGCTTAGTGCCACAATAATGGTTCAAAGTGTGATGGGGACTGTGAGGAAGGGAAAAAAAATGAGTCCCACCAGGAGGGCTGGGCCTCATGGAGAGAGAAGTCTCAGAGACGAGACGGGCCTTGAAGGCCAGGGACTTGCAGGAGAAGAAATAGGGCAGAGTACATGCTGGTTCTGTGCTGTCCAACAGGGCAGCCGCTAGCCACATGCCTACTTTAATTTAAATTTAATTTAAATTTAGGTTAAAGAAAATTCAAACTAGCTTCCTCAGTTTATACTAAGCACACCTCATAAGCTCTGTTCAGCAGCCACAGGCACCACTGTGTTGGGCAGTGTGGATCTGAGGAACATCTCTGCCTGGCAGAGAACTCTAGAACACAAGGGACCAGCTTGAGGGAAGGTGTGAACTGAGCAGGAAGTTTTGGGATTGCAAAGTGGAGGGTTCGTGGGGAGAGTCATTTGTTTTGGCTGGATCCCAGACTGTAGGGAAAGGAGGTGAGAAATTGGCTTTTTCTACAACACAAGGGGTCAAGGCAAGTCCCTGCCATACCAGTGTTAATGAGGACAGCTCCCATCCAAGGAGTTGTCTGGCCCAAGCCCCTGGATTTCCCAGTGTCACAGGTCAATGAAGAACAAAAATGCATAAACAAGAGTACCTGGATGGTACAGGGCATCTGGAGTTGTTTAGAAACCTTTTATCTCTAGAAACTCTCCTAGGCCACAGTGTTACACAAAGAATGTTGATTACATTATTATTAAATATCTTATATTGCTTTGGTCCTAAGTCTATTTAATTCCAACTGCTTTACTCTGACTGCATTGTCTTCACAAATTCTGTGTCATATAATGTAGTTGCTTATTCACAAATAAAGATGTATTTTTGCTAGTTTCTGTATTTACCTGGAGTTAATTATACTTCAGTTAAATATAAAAATTGAAGTTTCATGGTTGGGAGCGTGACACAGTGATGCCATGTATTTAGTGCTACCTTACTGCAGTGCAACAGTCTGAGTTGAAAAGTCAAGGGCGGCAGAGTGGAGGCAACAGCAGGGGCAGAAAGTGGCAACTAAAGGACATGTTGAGGACACGATGATTCACCCTAGAGTCAGGAAGACGAGGAGAGAACACTTGTGATCAGGGATGCTTGAATGATACTTTATTTCACTGAATCCAAGATATAATCAAATGTCTGATGCACAAATATTTTATGTACCCTAAGAAAGAAAAAATGCTTCCAATTAAAATTCTGGCATGCCAATGATTGTAAACTGAATCCTGATTTTACCAATATTAAATTGTGAAAAATGTGCATATCAGAATAAAAGAAATAATTTTTGTACAAAAACTGGTGATCAGACATACTTTCTTGACACTGAGGAGCCAACATGTATGAAGCACTTGTCTTAACACATGGGAGTGGGTGGAGTGGGCCCAGAGGGAGAAATGAATGGGAAACACCCCTTAGGGATGAAGAAGCTTATGGTTGGTGTGGCCAAGGGAGGGAAAGACCACAGAGCTTGAGTAGTTCTGTTTGTGGGAAATTTTGAGCAATGGATACATGCTCAAATACAATGGCGGAAGAAAAGCCCAGCTATGTCTGGTGGGTGGAGAGGTACAAGGACAGGGTTTATAGCTGGGTCATCAAGTCTGTGGACTTTGGAAGGCTTCAGTCTTGAAGACAACTTAGAACAAACAAAAACAACTTAAAACAAATAAAGATCCTATAAAGGATTTAAAATGCAGTTTTTGTGCCATCCTTTGTGCACACACATGTAGGGTGGGTGTTGCCTCAGCCACCACAGAAGAGAATAGACATGAGAATAGACAAAGCAACCACATCCTGGAGAGGGTCCAGTGTTGGGTGTTCTTTGTGCTAAGCACCAGGGCAAATGCCAGTCATGTGGTTCCCAACTCAGTCTCATGTAAACCCCCTGCAGCAAGAAAGATTCCCAACTGTGTACCGATTAAGCATCGGGGCCTTCCTAACCATGGTCAATGCACCTAGTAGGTAAACTCTGCATGCAATGATCCATTCTCATAGTACTTTCAGGGAAAGGGTGATTTGTTCTCTTACCCAGATGGACAGAGAAAGAGTTGGAAAGAGTAGAAAGAAAATCCCAGCTGGTCTGGGTTGAGCTGCAACCTGTCTATGCTCAGCTCTCCCTGCACCCACATGAGAACTCAGATGACATGGGTTAGCTCCTTGAGGCTGAAGCTGGCTTTGTGAGATGTGGGGACACCCAAGGAAGCCAGGGCGGGGGGCTGCTGGGTTCTACCACTTGTGCACTTAAATGGTACCACTCAATGACTACCTAGTAGGTGGTGGCCCTGCCACCATCACCAACATCTCCCCTTTTTCGTTTCATTGCAAAAGAACAGATGGCGGTGGCCCAGGGGATTAACATGGGATTGAAAGTAGCTGACTCCCCACCCACTCCAATCACCAGGAAATGAGACATGGCTGGAAATGGTGCCCACTGGGACAGCCTGTGCTCTGTGTATGTCTGAGGGCGGGGGTGCTGGACTGTCTCACCTGGAGCTTAATACTGATCCAAGAGGGTCCCATGGCCGAGCCCATGTGGAGAATGCACCTGTGGTATAAACACATTCCCCATTAGCAAATTGGGATAAAGCACTTAATCCTGACCCTCAGACCTTCAGATGGTATTATGAAATGACATTTGGACCAGCCACGGAGAACATTAGGTTTTGGATTTATTTTAAAAGCTAAATTGAAGCATAAACCTTGGCTGCTGCTCACTGTTGTTTAAACTAGAAGGGTCAGGTTAATCATGGTACACACTCCTCTCTACCTTGTCCATTTAGTCCAATGCATCTCAAATCTCAATGTGCATACAAATAACCTGGCTATCCTGGGAAAGTGCAGATTTTGACCAAGCAGGTTTGGGTGGGACCCAGGACTGTGCATTTCTGGGAGATGCTGGTGCTGCTGGTCTGCAGGCGAGGCCTTAAGTAGCAAGGCCTAGAGACCCCAGAGACCTGCTCATCATCTGAAGTTAAGCTCAGACATTGCCTCCCTT